AAGAGTCACACAATTTGGAAATGTTTTATAGATAATATTTAAACAAAGAATCACTGCAATTCAATTTTTCTATTTAAATTATTTTGATTGAATTTGAATTAAATAATTATTTACTTACCTCTCAAATTATTCCTCGTTGCAAGTTAATGGGAAATGTCATGAAAAAAGCAATTATGAGTCGTGTACCGTTCTCGAGATCACTAAGTAGTAGTCCCCCTGGACATGTAATACCGCTACAGTTTTGAAGTAATTCCCAAAAAGACCGTTTTTGGCGCCACTCGCGCCACCGACCCGTCATTAGGGATGCACGATATAAAAAAAAAATCGATATCGTTGAAATCGATATAACTGAAAAAAATTGATTTTGTAATATCGATTTTCAGAAAAAAAAATTGACGAACCGATATATCGATATCGTTTTTTCTCGAAGAATTTTAAGAAATCCAAAATTCGGCCTTTTTCTCCAATTTTGGGAGAGATTGGACAAAATGGTGAAATCAGTAGGATGAGGATTAAACCAGAAGACATGAAAAACTTTGAAAACAATGAAAGTATTGACCCAACCGATGCTTTTCATTCATTATTCAAGTTTTAAGAATTGATTCCCGTTTAACATTTCTTGTAACTATCCATTCATTAAGATAATCTCACAATAAACATCGTAAACAACAACTCATTTTTGTATATTTCACCGCTCCACATGGATTTTGGCTTCGCAGTCAAATGATCAGAGCATGTCGTACGATTACTCCTAATGGATTGCCAACTCCTGTTGAAATAAATATGGTTAATTAATCTTTATTAGAGTTACGTACTTCTAATCATTAAATTCATGCTCACACCCAATTATAAGCTAAAAGTTCTACCTGGATCTACTTACACTTTCAATTAAATAAAAACCAAACATTCCCAGTTACCAGAATCAAACTGTATTAATTGTCGAGAAATATCAAATCATCATGTATTCATATAACATGAATGCATACAATTTTAAGTGGGTTCTGACAACACAAATCAATTAACCTCATATAAACATAGAATGAACATAGAAAGAACACGAGACTAGCTCCATAAG